TCTGTACTTTAGGGGCATCCTAATTTAAGGATGTTTCAGTGAAATCATTACTATTAGCCTCAGTAGGTGTTGAATTAAACCCTAATTTACGTGGGACAGCTAATCATACGTAATATTATACCTGTTTCTCATGTGCCTCTCAGCCAAAGAGCTAACAGCATTTTATGCAGGTAAACATAATTGCTGTGGAATATCTTCTTGTGATTCGAGACCTCTTATTCATCAGAGCAGCCTAATAGATACCTCATCTTCCCCCTCCTCTGCGGCGCACGGAGCTCGGAGAGGTGGAATTCCTGATGTGCTTTACTCCACAGATAGCTGGGCTTTGGGTTGTTGCTGTGTGATTCCCACTGCCAGGCAGCTCTGCCACAAGGATGTGCCGTGCAGCCTGGGAAGAAACCCAGCGGATCTTTTATCATGATTGCCTTGGCCGTGGCTCTCAGAGAGGCAATAGCCGCAGATCAAGACTCTGTTCAAAGGAGAGATGTCAGCACTGAATTGTTTTCTGGTGAAGGAAGGATGGATAAAATATTAAATGCAGTCTTCTATTTTCCCTTATCTTTCTGTTTCCCTGACAAGAATATTGTACTGTATTTCCATGGTTCTGTATTTCAAAGCTGAAGGAACACGGGTTTGGGGAAATAAATGATTTAATTGTTCAACGGTAGAAATTGCTGTTACAAAAATAAAGGGAGATTTTGTGTTACATCTGCTTTCTTATGTGAAGACACTTCTATCTCGAGCAGGGAACAGCACACTTTGAGGAGTTACCTGGTTTCATTTCCATCCACCTGCTGCTGTAATTATTGTCATTTAATGCACAAAGACACTTCTACTTTCTGAGCAGTGGGGGAGTTTGCCCATGAACATTTTGGAAGGGGTGTGCCTGTCTGAGTCCCCTTTCCCTGTAGCCTTTCAAGCCTTTGGGAAATGCGGATCAAATCGAGTGGTGGGGCCCAGGAGAAGGGGCACAGAGGTAGGAAGGAGCTTGGATTTTAAGTCCCTCCAGGTTCCATGTGAACTGCTGGCTTGGGTACAGGAAAGAGAGACACCAGAGAGGACCAGACTGCACGGGGAGCTCTGGGGTACGTCTGGCTTGGGGCCACACGTTCCTGGGGGGCTGAGGAGCCCCTGAGCCTGGAGGGTCACCCTGGAGGACCCACCCGCACGTGAGGATGGGAGAAGAGCCATCCAGGGAGGAGTTCCCGGTTAGTTTGAGACGGGGGAAAGCTTGGGGAGGCAGGGGGAGTTTGTGGTTGGTGAAGGGCAGCAGACTTGAGTATTTCTGGAGAGGTAAGAGGGGATGAACACTCTGGAAAGGAGCCACGTTCACTGTGGTCAGTAGCACCAGAGAACTGTGGCACAGCTGTCAGAAATGAGGCTTCACTGGCTTCTCTGTGCACAGAATTTGCTTTAACATCTGCCCTGTCACTGTGAGAGCGTTTCTGTGGCAATGTTGTGTATTTACCCAGTGATCTACCAAGTCTTTGGTCAGTGTTTTATTCTGAAGTGTTTATATTTCTCTTTGCCCACAGCATGAGTTTTCTCAGAGGAAAATCATGAAAACAGCAAACAGGCTGAGAAGAGTGGCCCAAACCTTGTGTCATATCTGACATAAATTCAGAATTGCTTCATAATCTTTGTAGTGAACCAGCAATTACTCTGATTCTTCTGAAGCCATAATTTCAAGCTAGGTGGTAGCTTCCAAAAGTTGAATTAAGCTTGACAGTCCAACACAGTTATTTAAAATATTGTGAGCTCTCTACCCATCAGCTGTTGGAGTGCTGAAGAGCATTCCAGCCTGCTGAAGTGGACAAACTCTGCTCTTTCAGTGGGTCTTGGGTTAGAGGTTAATGGAGAGTACGGCACCATGGTGGGTACAAACTCCTGTGTTTGATTTGCCATGGATTGATTTCCTCTTCAGTCCTGGTGAGAGCAGGAGCTGGGGGCAGTCTCAGGAAAGCCCCTTGCCCCCACCTCTCTGGAGGCCTGTGAGGAAGGGGTGGAGCACAGGGTGACCTAGTTGCTCTCTGCTGCTTTCCTTGCTCTGCTGGGGGATTTGTGGCTGCCAAGTTCAAGGCAGTCACCACCAGTCACTTGGTGTGGCCCAAGAAGGGACTGAAGGAGCAGGGGAGAGGAGGCAGTGGGAAAGGAAAGGAGAGGCCGGGATGGGAGGGGATAGGAAGTCACCATAACTCGTGTGTGAGCAGTCTCAAAATGAAGAGGCAGAGAGTTCATATATGAATTAAATGTGGTTTTTTTGTGGCTGGAACGTCTTAAGTTTTCCTAAAATTATAACTAGAAGTTCATTGATACAAAAACTAGTATTGATGTATAGTTGTGTGTGTGTGATTTGGCAACAGTTTGGGTGTGGCAGACCAGGAAATAGAGGATGTAAACAATTTACAACCATTTATTCTTTTATTAGCGCTTTTATCTGTGTAACTCTGATTAGTTGCCATAGATACAGACAACACAGGGTTTGTTTGAGTTAATGAAAAGTCTCTCATGCTGATAAAAAATGTGATTTCTCTTGAGAAAATTCTGAATTACTTCAATTTCACTATTCTTGGCCATGATTTTCAACTATATTTGAATTCATGTATACAATTAAATAATTGTGGCATTTAGTAGTCTCCTTCTTTTATATATAGCATCTGCAGAATAATTTTGAGTGGAATGCAGTACTAAACAAATCAGTCTTTAATTTAGTGATTGACATGATATATGCCAATATTATATATTGACAGATATAAATTACTGTTCTGTCAGCTTACAGACGTGCTTCTGTATTTCTAAAATAATTTTTATGATTTTTTCCACCTTGTAAAACAACTCCAGAACATGATCAGGTAGCTGATGGGCTCACAAATGTGGTTACCAATGGGCACAGCTTGATGTCACGTTTGGTTGTGTTCTTCCTACTTAACATTTCGGTATCTCGAGTGATAAAGGCAGTGAATGTGACTTGGCACATCCTAATTCCAGCTACTCTGTCCAAATAGAGAGTAGTTACTTGCTGTAAATGTTAACTCAACTGACTCAAGAAGTAGTTTCATATGAAGAAAAATTTAAAAAATTAGTTTAGCTTTTCTGTTACTGTGTGGTAGGCACGTGTGGGATGCTCCTGGTCCTGTGGTTTCTAATGAGCTTAAGGTGGCCACACTGCTTGCAAGTGTGTTTGTCACTGTCCAGGTCCTGTAGTCAGGATGAACCTGAAATAAGTGGTACTGTGGGCAGGGGGGAGAGGTACCCTGTGGGGAACAGAGAAGAAGGAAAAATACCTTTGAGTCAGCTTGATTTAAAATAAATATATACACAGGGGTTTCTTGAAGGGTTAGAGAGAGTGGGCACAGCCCTGGCAGAGTGGGTGTGTGGTCAGAGTGCAGCTGGGAGGCAGGGGAAGGCTCAGTATTGTTCCAGCCTGTGGAAGATGGTGAGTTTTATGATTTAAATGATGGTTTAAATGATCCTGTTTCTTCCAGGAACGCAAAGTGTTTTGGTGTAAAGGCTGAACTCAGAGCACCACTGAATACATGGATTATGCACTGGGCACGTGTCTGGCTCCAGCAGGGATGAGCAGCCCCTGCAGCTGCCGTCCTGGGAGCAGGGAGGTTCGGTGCTCAGTCAGTTAATTAACACAAACTACTCCACACTGGAGGACAGAACCCCTCAGCTCAAATGCTCATGGTGCTCAGAGGTTGGGGGCTTCTCCCACTATTCCCTGCAAGCTGAGCCACATTCCCTGCACTCCACTGAGCCTTTCGTGGTTGTGGTTACAGGAGAACAGGATCTGCCCCACTGCTGTAATTTAATTAGCAGGTATAGGAGAAATAACATGGATGGTTCAGCTCTGCAGGGAGTCTGACTGACTGTGGTGCACAAGAGGAAGAGTGCCATGCCTTACTCTCAGCAGACCATACACCCTTCCCCTACCACCTTTCAGTAGTAAAATTACCCTTAACTGTGTTCTTAATGGCTGGAGTCAAGATCCTAGAATAAGTATTTCCTGGGGAAAGAAAGGTAGGTTTGAGCAGCACTAAGTAAATTTGGGGATATTAAAAGTACTGAAAATTTTACCAGGTGTCTTAGAGGTTTGAAAAATAGCTTAAATCTTTTTAGAGATTAAAACCTATTTTTCTAAGTTAGAACAGTTTATTTTGCTACAAACCAATTGGAATTAATAAAAACAATGGACTCCTAGGGATGAAAAAAGAACTCTGTGTGTTCACCAGGTTTCAGTTTCAACTCCATGAGACTACAGAGGCTGTAATTAGGTCCTTTCCATTTCTAAATATTCAGATGACAGCATCCTCAGGGCCCAGTGTAGGAATTTTCTCTTTATATACAAAGTCAGGATGAGGTATTCAGTAATTCAGTACCTATATACCAATTAAAAAAAATATATAATTATTTAACATAGCTGTAGAAACAAATATACTGTTTGTCTTTATCATCATACAATGTGCAAGTCTTTGTGATCTATTGAATTTTTGGTTGTCTGCTTGAGCTGAGAACCTCCCCACACTGAGCCCTTTTCTTCAGCAGACCCCTTGTGGGACCAGCACCTGCAGAGTAGCAACATCCCAAAATGCCACTCACCTGTTTCCAGTCCTCGGATGTCCAAGAGGACGGTGCACACATGGCTTTATCTGCTGCTAATGGCTTGGTCCTCAAAAGGCTCCTGCATTTAAACTGGTCAAATCTGTCTACAGGGACCAGGACTGTAGCAGGAGAACTGGACACATTTGTCCCAAGCTGTAAATGAACAAGGTGTTGTCTCGCGTGTTGGCACTTGAGCTCTTTACTCGGGTTAACTTGGTGAAACTCAGCAGAAAGAAAAATGATAATAAAAAAGTTACATTTAATGCTTTGAGAATGAGGCTCAGCAATGCACTGAAGATGTTTAAAAGAATCCAGCAGTCAGGAGCTGTGACCCTGAGTAGGAGGGAACTCTTTACTGCTGCAGGACTTACGAGTTTGCCGTGTTTTCTTTGCAGGGTCTCGGTGTGTCTGGTGGGAGTCAGGCTGGCCTGGGCACTGCTTCCCCCAGGCAGTATCCACGGCAGAAAATAACACGTGTAAACCTCAGGGACTTCATCTTCTACATGGAACAGGAACGAGAAATGAGCCATTCTCTCCTGCTCTATCGAGCTCTGCTTAAATAAAGCCAACAGTTGTACTGATTGCTCCATACAGAAGCTCAACTTGCATTGAAAGCTGTCATTTTAATGTGCCTTCTATTTTTTTCAGAAGTCAACGTTCCAGTAATTTTGTTTTGTAAAATTGTCAGACACATGCAATAAATTTCCTTTATGTAAAAAAAAAATAATAATATAAAAACCACACACACAAAAAAAAAGTGCAAAAGGTTTTAAAAAATGTTAACTCCACAGATATAACCAACATCCCAGTCTTGCTCCATTTGGCCATTTTAGGTAAGGCTGAAGTAGCTGGTGTTGAAGTTACACAAAAGCAAGGCTGCTGCAATGGCTCACCTAAACCATCTCCTGGCCATGCCTGGGCCCAGCCCTGGGGTTCTGTGCGTTCCCTGGCGGAGCTGGGCTGTTCTTCTTCGTTTACTGGCGCTGTCTCACTGACCGTGGTGATACCTGTTGTTGTTTTAGCTTAGTTATAACGGCAGTTTTTTGCACAGCCAGGAGACTAGCACACTCTCACAAATTCTATATATTTGGGATTTTTTTGCTTTTACTGCACAGCTCATTTGCTGAGCCATTTGCTGAACCAAATCCTAAGTGTATGAAGTCTGTGTGCTTGGGTCTCAGCTGAGTTACCCTGAGTAGCTTCCAGTTGTTTTCTAAACCCCTTCAACCTTTTTGTGCATTTGTAGCAGCTGGTTAGTAACATGATTCAAAGTTGGCTTTTATTTTCTGAAAGATGTTAATTTATTTATTGCAAAGAGTATGGTTTAATGGTGGTTTTAAAAGAGAGTATTGTTCAGTAAAGATTTTTAGAGTATTCTATATGGATTTTTAAAGTCGCTCGAAAGGTTTTTGGGGGCCGGTGCCACCAGGGGTGGCGATGCCTTGGATTCCAGTCCAGGGAGGCTCATGGACAGGCTTTAAGCATAAGGAGTAGTTGTAAGTAGCTGAAAGGTGGGAGGAATACTTTTTAAATGCTTTGCTGAAGCGGAATTCTGGGCCCACACCAAAGCCGAGCGACGTCAGTGCGAGTCTTTTAAATGGGGATCAGAGAGGAGCAGTCACAGGCAGGTGGGCACAAGATGTATTTCAGATTTTAACAGTGTTACCAGTCACCAAGGAAGGGAGACATTTGCTTATTTATCTTTTCCATTTTTACTATGTTATGCTTGCCACTTTTTTGAGGCAATATTTTTTTTTTTTCGATGGGAAACCATAGCAAAAGCACAAATAGAACTATTTGTCCAATAGTTTTAAAAACAAAGGTTTTAATTATTTTTTAAGGTTTATGAAAAGCAGAAGAAAATTTATACTGCTGCTATTTAGCCAAAAGATTATTCATAAGGTATTTAAGGCCAGGAAGTGTAAAGTTATGTTTTAAATGTATTGATAATTTGTACATATTGTTTATAAAGGCCTTGTGTTTATTAGAGTTACGTTATTTTGATGATTTCTGTACATACTCGTAAATACCCCCAATTTGTGTGAAAACATACTCCCTTATTTGTACTTATTTTGTAAAGAAATAAAACAATTTACTAAAGTAACACATCGAGTGACATACAGTATTAATTTATCAAACATGAATTTTCACATTGTCTCGTAGTTCTTAAGCACTGGTCAGAAAACATTTTTGCATTAAAATATTAACAGAATACCCACAAAGAAATATTAAAACCCGAATACTTCAATGTTTTGTTGTGCTGATCCTTATCCTTTGTGAAACATCTAATAAAATTGTCAACAAACCTCGATGCCATTAGTACAGAGAATGGATGCACTCAGCAGTGGCTTTCTGGGGAGCGATGAGTCCAATGAGCACAACAGAACATTCCCCTTCACTTTCTGACACAGCCCTGCACAGAAAGTGCTGGGGAGGGCTCGTGTTTGTCGGGCCACGGGGTCAGTGCTCGGCAACAGCGAATCAGAACAGTTTGGGTCAATCGAATTAGGCGAAAAACCAGGCTACGCTTCTTGGCCTCCGCAGCAAAAACATCTGCTGGCTGCACACAGGGCCTCGCTGCAGTGGCTGGGGCATTTTAAAACCTCTCTCGGCCAAGCTGAGCAATGTTCTTCATTAAGTTGTGTTACTATGGTTTAAGGCCAGAAGTAAAAATTCGAATCAGTTTTCGTTGATATTGCTGCCTAAAAATACAGGGAAATAAGTAAAAAAGATATAAGTGAAACTGTAATAATCTTTAAATAAGTGACCTGAAGTTACTAACTAAAAGAACATGTCCTAGCTTAACTTTTTTTTTTTTTTTAAAGGCATTTCTCTTCTAAGAAAGTGATTGTTTCCACATGTCTTCCTTGCCTTAGTGCTATTTTGCAGTCAATGCTGTGATGTCACGGTTCAAACTTTCCATCTCAAGTTCACATTTAACTCGGCTGGCGCAGCCTGGAACCCTTTCCAGTGCCACCTCAGCAAAGCTGCCCCAAGGACCGGGGCTGCTTCATTGAGCCAGAAAAAAAACACAGTAAACACCAAACTGAGGAAAAACCAACCACAGATCCTCCCAATGTCCTGCACGTGTCCAGAAGCATCGTCCCACTGCGTGCCCCTGAGAGCTGCCCATGGGTGCTCAGCGCCCGGTCCTGCAGAGCTGGGCAGGCCTGGCCCGAGCACCGGGGGCAGGATTGGGCCCCTGTGATCAAATGTCCCCAGGAGGGGTCCCCTTTTTGCTCCCTGGCTGAGGTAAGAACCGGGGGGGATGCGCTGCCAGAGCCGCTGCGAGTGCCACTCACCCTGGTCAGGGGGGCAGGGTGGATACAGGAAAAACAGGAACCTGAATGGATTAATTAAGGATGCTTTGGACTGAAAGGTAACTCAATGTATGAAAGTAATAAATAAAAAGACTATTTTTTTTTTCTTTCTGTGAGACGTGGCTACATCAAGCTGAATGGAGCTAAAGGCTGGAGAAGACGCAGTCAAAAATTCCCACCTCTTTCAAACACCATGGGAGATACAGTGAGTGTTCCACCCTACGTGCTTATTTTTGTTCGTTTACTTTACAGAAATGTTTATGGCATGAAGTACTGTATAAGAAATGTGCATACACAAATACATGACAATTATACGTTAAGTTCTTTACAATATTAAATGTATAATATACAATTCTACAGATATCTTACATACAAAGGTGAATGTTGTGCCATATAGTCAAATATGGCAATGCCTAGCAACTTCAGAATGTCGTACAAGTATAAAACCACAAAATAAAATAACTTTACAACTCTTAAAGTAGACAGATTTGCTCAACTGTTCTGCTAAGGTAGCAGGCCAACCGGCCAGGATTGCCATTAGAGATTTCTGAGTTGGGGGACCAAGGTGAGAAAATCTGCAGAGGTCTGATTTTCCATGGACAGGTATCCAGCCCTTTTCCAGAAATTAGACCCCTGCCTAGATTGTTCCTTGGATAGTCAGTACAGCTCATCGCTTTTGAAAGTATAAGTCTTAAATGTGAATTTTAAAATTTTGCCTGATTGCAACCAACTGGCATTGAAGAACTGTTGACCACTTAATACTCTCTCCCTTGTTCTATATGGCCGTATTTAGGCATCTAAAAAGGGTTTTAATTAAGATTCAGCATCTACAACGGTATTCTATAAATTAATGTGGGAGAAACTAAATTGTGATTAACACATGAATTAGTTATTGAGGACCCAATCATGCTAAACTGCAATAAACAGGATTTAGCAGAATGCTATTTATAACCTCGCACCTGCGAACACGGTGCTGTCTCCTGAGTTAGGAAGCCCTGTGAGTCGATGCCGATTCCTGGCAGTAGCAGGACCCTCCTGCAGACCCCTGACTTCGTTACAGAGAAAGTTACACAGATAGAGGGCGGCTACAGAATTAATATTTTTAATAATAATTTAAAATAATAAACCAGTTTAAACCAAAGGCGGCCTGCTTTCATCTGGCAGTGGCAGTACAGGGTTTTAACAGCTCTTTGCAAGAATTCCAGACCCATAAAGAGTCAGGCCTGTCCAAAATTCTTAAGCTTTCCTCCTAAATGTGGGCTTCTAACATGGTTAGTAAATGATTAACAAGGGGTGGCAGAGCTTGCTTGGCAGAACCACGTTTCTTTGATAATGCAAAACTTAACAGTTTCTGTGTCAAAACAAGACTGGCTTTAAGAGAGCTACAGCTCCACGTCGGGTACGTGACCCCTGTGTGATGGTGGATGGCATTTTATTTTGTGCTTCCAGATCCCTACTGTTGCAAACATTGCCTTAATCGGCCTCATCTAACTTTTTGTCACTTTGTTTGTTTGGTTTGTGTGGGGTTTTTAAGTACTGAGCACCAGTTGACTATAAATTGGTCCTTTTCTGATTCTGGATCCTGTCCACAGAGAGAGACTTCAGTTGGAAATGTAGTATAAAAATAAGCCATTTGCTAGTGTGGGTGAGTACAATCACAGAGGTGCCCCGTGGTGCCTGGAGGTGTAAAGCACGTCTGATATGGAGGTGTGGCAGTCAGGGAAGAGTCTCAGTGCAGTTTTTAGCGTTCCATCTTCCTCTCACAGACGTCCGCGTGTCACGGCACTGGGGTGTCCTTGGGAAGGCCGGCAGAACCGCTGCTCCTGCTGATCCATCCAACTGCTTCAACTGGTCCTTGCAGAAGTCCAGCCCAGTGCAGGGTCAGGGGTTTAGGAAGCTCTGCCTCTTTCACAGCAGTGCTGTTGAGCCCAAAGTCCATCCCGGAGCCCCTCTGCGCTGGGCGTGCTCGGCAACTCCACCGCGAAGAACGGACAACTGGTTTCTCAAACGCATCTCGTGGCTGGCTATGTGACAGGTAGTTTCAGAGTACCACTAATTGGCAACATAAAGTCCAAGTCTGTTTGCTAATACTGTTTTGCAAATCCTTAGTGTTTCACATAAGGGACTATTAAACACTTCTACGGTTACAAAGAGGGGGCGGGGAGGGTCTAGTCCAGGGGCTCCTGTTTTATTCTGATTGTTGGGGTGGGTTGTGGTCGTCTGTCCTCGCGACACAGCACGTATTCACTGAACTGAGAGGAATCCACCCCACCACCACAGGAAGCTGCCACGTTAAATCCCTTCTGAAATAATCTTTCGAGCACCTGCAATGTGGGGGGGAAAAGAGTCAGATTAATATTTAGCAAATTTTAGTGATAAAAGCAGTCGGAAGCACCGGATCTAAATGATGGATTTAGTCTTTCCAGTCCTCATTGTGAATGAATATTATTCAGCTATAATTCTATAACTTATTGTTAAATGACTACACTGTGATTAAAGTCTCGCTCTCAGCAAACCTCTGTAGAAAACAAAAATTAATCAAAGAAATAAGCACTCTGCAGAGCAGCTTAGTACATTATATAGTAAAATACTGGACTGTGGTGATATTGATGCTATCTCTTACTGCTTATAGAAAGCAACATCAGGTTTAAGTTGTAATAAAAAGTGCCCATTATTCATTAGTAATATGAACAGTCTTACAGAGAGGGGCTGAAACGCTCTTCCTTGGCAGATGAAAATGTATCAGGAGCCTGAATGACACATCCACCAGATCTCTGTGGCTATGGCAGCTGTTTTCCCTCACTGGAAGGGAGGGCTGCTGTTAGCAAAGCGTGGCAGGGATGGGACGCAGAACCAAGACGTGGACAACAAGGAAATGTTCTGGCCCAAGGAAGAGGTTAATCTGTGTTGCCCAAATATGTATTTTTTTCTTTCTCCTCCTAAAGAAAAGTTGGTGCAATTTAGATGCATGAATTTAAGGAACCCAGAGGCAACTTTAATTTCTGCGACTGTCACACAGCACATCACCCCAGGACATGCTGATCTTGGCAGTGTGATCGGGGCCGTGTTTTCACATGTGTGAGCGTGTTGATATTCGGTTTCCCAGCAGAGCAGGACGCACACAGGCTCTTCCCAGAGTTAGGTGAGAGCAGATGCCAGATCCACCTTTGGCGGATCTGCTGTGCATGACCCACCAGAGGAGACGCCGTGGTGCTTCCCAAGTCCAGGGCAGCAGCCTGGAGAAGTGGTTCCTGTGGTTTTCTGTGTGATAAACGCTGTCAGGGGCAGCAGCCTGTGCTGTTCTCTCAGGGCCTCACCCAAGGTACTGCTTCCATTGCTGCAGCACGTGGGAAGTGAACTGATGGTTTACTGAACCTGATGGCCACACCAGCATCCCCATGTGACAGCCACCCACAGCAACAGGGACCAAGCCACTTGCTCACTCAACCTAGAGAAGTGTCTAAGCAGTATACCCACCTTGAGCCCATTTTCATGGGCACAGGTTGTAGAAGGAATTTAATTTCTTTTTCGGCTCCACCGGCCCCCTGAGCACATCAGCAGATACGCTGACTTTGGAGACTGCACACCAGGCCACTGCCCTCACCCTCACACACAGACCCACGTGAGGCCACACTGCATTTCTTAGTGCACCATTTCTTTTGCCTGAATGTTGGCTTTGTTTTTTCCAGAAACATGATTTCAGAAGAACAGCTGTGTCTGAGGTGGTGTGGCAGTGCAGTGCAAACCACGGCAGCAGCATTTGCTGGCTTTAATCTGCTCAATCCCTCCTCAGAGGCCACCTGTGGTACCCATCTGCACCCAACCCAGGGTTTGGGTTTTCAGTGGCACCTAAAACATTTTACTTTTGCTCCCTTGGCTGCTAAGGATGGG